GGGGAGGCTGTGAGAATGTGAGCATCGGGTTCACTTGCGCCACAGATGACGGGAGTGCCGACGTGGTAGCTGCGACTGCAGCCTGCGCTGATGTGTTGTAGAACATAGCCCCAGTGTCGTAAGTCGGAGCTGCCATGTTGTTCTGTGGGTGATCATTGTAGGTGAGTGTTGGGTAAGGAGTCTGGCCGTTCAGGTCGGACTCGGGAAAGTAGCTCTTGGTAGATGGGACTTCGCTTTGAGCCCCTCCACTGGTGGGTGCGGACTGGACCTGAGAAGATGGGTAACTTGAGGCTGGCTCCTGTTTGACCTCCGGCGTGGTAGAAGGCTGAGCACTCTTTGTCTCCTTGTTACGCATATCATGGTCAATCCACGCAATCGTGCGGTCAATGATGCTTCCAATCTCAGTAGCAATGCTAGAATCCGAGCCTGTCGTATTGTTAGGGCTGACTGATCTGCGAACTAGAGGCTGGAACTTACCGAGAAGAGAGCTGACTTCCTCAAGAATGCCGATCCAACCGCTCATCTCCTCCCGCAACGTGGCAATGGCCTCTGGAGTCGTCTCGAAACGTCTTTCCCACATGGCAGCCAGCATGGTGAAGGTGCCAGCGGTGTACATCGAAGTCTGGTACCATGTCGTATCAAGGCACTTGCACTTCTGGATCTCCATCTGACAGTGAAGCATTTGGCGTGAGACATCCTCGCAGATGGCCATGTTCTCTGCCATCATGGCCTTGTCGCTGATCATGGCCACTGAAGGGTGTCGCAGGCAAAGACGGAACTCAAGTGCCCATGTCTTGGCGTAGACAGCTGCCAGGCGGGTTTGCTCGGTCTGCTCGGCATGGTCAATCACCATGTGGCCAGGGAGTTCGTCCTCCCACTTCTTGACCTGAGCCTCAAGCGCCCTGACGATGCTGAAATAGTTTCGCGCATCCCGTCGAACACTGTAGATGTTGGAGTACATTTCCATGTATATGGGGATGATCTTGAAGCTCGCGATACCTGGCCAGTAAGGACAAGGAATGTCACGGGATGTGTCGACGCCTTCATCCGAGAGGAGCTCATCAGCAATAGGCTCGGGAAAGCCGACGTCAAATTCCTCAACGGTGATAGGCATCGGCCGGCCACGACGTCCAGTAACAGCGATGTAGACTGTCATGATGACCCAGAAAGCTCTCTTGCGAAGCTCATGTTGGAGATTGTTGGGCTCCCCTGGCTTTCTTGACTCTCGGTGCAGATTCAATTCGAGTGCGCGTTGAAGGGCAAGGTTGGCGACGATTGAAACAACACCGGGCTTGGGGAAAGCTCTGGTATGCTTGACGACCATGGCCATGGCCTGGACCGAAGCCAGGTCTCGCATGCATGTCAACTCAAAGAACTTGCTGAGGGCGAAATGGTAGTGACTGTTGGATCGCTCATTCATTTGAGCGCGCTGGTCGACCTGCTGCCAGTTTCTTGTGCCATACTGGAAGCAAATGATGGCGAAAACCATGTGCACTGTAACAAGCTCCGCCACTGAAGGCTCAAAATTAGGTTCATCGTACATGCGGGTCAACTGTATGGCTGTTAGTGATTAAGCTTAAGAAAATTGTGAGACAACACTTACCAATCGCATGAAAGAAGGCTTGTGGAGGACTGGAAGGAAAGCGGAGAAGGTCATGAAGTACCACTCGGCCCAGGTGAAGGCATCTTCGCGAGAGGGCATCTCAGCCTGCATGGGAGGATTGACTCTCATGATGGATTGGAGGAAAGATTGCGGGGACTTGTTGTACGACGGCGCCACCTTGCCATCGACTGGAGGCTCCTCCGCATCTGGTGGCTCAAAGGACGCGAGGTCGACTGTCATCCCTAGAATTGACAGTCGCGTACCCCCGATTGAACTGAGAGGAGCACTGTCCATTCCAACACCAAGATGATTCTCATGAGCGCGGGACTCTAATGTGCGAGGGAAGCTGGGAGACAGGCTGGGGGCTGATCCAGAGTCCTTGAACACTGCACTGCCGACTTGAGACCATGTTTCGCCAGTCTTTGGGTCAGGAATTGGGTTGCCCAGATCATCAAAGTTTGAGTCGGAGGGGCACTGTGCATAAGGTGACCACTCCCAGGGCTTGACTTCGACGCCCTTGTTGTCGAGGAGCTTCTCGAGATCACGAATGTGGGAGAGCATGTCGCTCTTTTCCCTCTCCAATTCCTGCATGTATCCTCTTCGCTCTGTGCGCCCTGTCACGCGATCTGTGACATAGCATTCAAGGTTTTGGTTGGTGCAGTGGGAACAGCCTTCTGGGAGTGCATCGCATCGGATCTTTCGAACCTGTAATTTTCGCGCGGTTAGCATGTTGTGAGAGCATGGCCCGAGATTTTATGACATACCTTGCATCTGTCGCAAGCTTGACCAGTGCGTGTATAAGACTGTAGTCTGTTCTTGACCACGCTGGAGAAGTCGTCTGGGCCACGTTCTAGCCTGGGAAGCTTGACTTTGCTGGGAGCTTGAATCGTGCCATCATCTTCGCCATTGCTAGCAGCCCGCTTGGGAGGTCGTCCTGGCATCTTGGACTTGATGCGCGGGGAGATGCCCCTCGACGAAGCAGGTGAAGATCTCGCGGAAGAAGTAGCGGAAGACGAGACGCTCTTGTTGCTGGCGCTCGTGCAAGAGGCGGTGCTGGCCTTTGTCCTGGCCGTGCAACGAGATATCGCGGCAGGCTGGCGCGGGCGGCGCCCAGTGGGTTTTGTTGAAGTCGCAGTCGCAGGGGCCTTTACAGCGGCGAGAGCAGGGTTGCAGCTGTAGGCAAATGTATCAGGAGCCCAGGCGAGGGCAGGGTAAGATCGGGCGTCGAAGGGCCAGTAGAGGGGACCTGGGCCTGGCTGCGACGTCAACGACAACGACGTGGGAGTTGAAAAGTTGGCGATGGAGGAGTTGAGGTTGCGCTGGGATATGGCCTCCATCATACTGGTCTGGGAACGAGGCCTCGAGCTTGGGCGTCGGCTTGCTGGGGCTGGTGCTGGTACTGGTACTGGTGCCGGCACTGAGAATGACACTGTACAGGGGATGAGCTTAGCGGGGAATGCGCTGTGCATTAGCGGCTTTCCGGGTATGGGGGACTCGACACTGGGTGGAGGCGCAGGTGTAGGCCTCGACGAACCCCAGTGGACGTATGTGACGTGAAGTCTGACGAGGAGCGGAGCTGGATATGAGACGGGACGAGAGGGAGGGAGGGGACAGATGAGATGATTTTGCTTGTGATCTGCAGAAGAAATGGTCTAGACTCTAAGTGGCTGTAGAAAATCTCCTGTTCTTCTTTGTATATTGAAGAACTTGAACAATCAAGGCAATTGTATATGGATGGATGGTAAAGTATGCACAGTTATTGTATGATGGATCAAGCAGGGATAAGGCCGGTGAATGTCGAGGTCTTATAAGCAGAGAGATCTGGTGGATGTCTTGAGGTTGTAACCATCCATCCAGCCTTAGTTCACATCTTAGCTTGGCGAGTTAAAATAGATACACCAACCTTACCAACCTTACAGTACTAAACAGATCTGTCCCGGAGTTGGCGTTCAACAGAATTATTCCCATCGTCAACCTCCCTTTGCACGGAAGGCCCGTATCTCGCTGAGCAAAAGCACAGACAGGTTCTCTCTATCAAACTTGGAAGATAACTCATCCGGAGGCGAGATATCGTCAGTGTTTGAGGAACGGAGAGTCCTTCTAGAAGAATACCGGTAGACTGGGAGAGAGCAGCCACGACAACGTGAGTGTGTTGGATGAATTCTCCGTAGCCCAGAGTATGACATCGGATCTACTCACAGGGCCAGGCCAGAGTTTCCCATAGGAACCAGAGAGCCAACGAGGCGCTGCAAGGGGAGACGACTCCACCGTGGCCGTCTAGACCGTGGCCTTTTTCTGGGCAAGCCACGAGATTTCTTGGGAGAAGATGCCGTACAAGCGCAATGATGCTGTGGCTGAAAGTGACAAGGTCGACCTCGGCGGTACCGTAAGCAATTCGACCATGACGATTCGTCACCGAGGGCAAAGTGTCAAAGGAAAACGAGCTGATGAGCGGAGCCTAGAGGAAACCAAGTCTGGGCAAAGTCAGCTCCTGGGAAACTCGTATCATAATGATTTGCATGCTACCTAGATGAATGAAACCATTGATGGAAATGCAACCCTACTGCCGGTACCGAGGAGCCAAGACCAAGCCAGGCCAGGCCTGTTTATCTTAGTGGTTCTTTTGATTGACTTTTGGTTATGTCGGTGCCTTGCTGATCAGGTTCATCCTTTCAGCCTTCACTGTCAGCCTCTCAGGTTGGGCAGCCAAGATGTTGATGATCCCGTTCCCGCTACGGACGGCATATGTCTGTCAACCTTGATGATGGTGGCGCCGGCCTTGTATCGGGGATATTACGAGAACTTAACGGCGGGAGATGGCCACGATCATTTGAACAAAGTGGGTGAAACGGATGAGGCGATTGAGTCTGGCTTGATGATGGATAACGTGGAAAACGTTTAGCCATTGCAATTGACGAATGGTCACAGACATGATCCCAACATAACTCTCTCTCTCTGGACATGGTATATGGAGGTCGGCTTCTCCTCACTTCGTGACGTGTTACAGCATCAAAATTGAGTTACCGTAGTGTCAAAGACGAGCATCACATTGAACATACAGTACGAACACAGTATAACAAACATGTGACGACCCTTGACTTGTTGACGTGCCCCGCTGTCCGCGGGCTACCAATTGCACAGCCCATCGCTAGATCTCACTCTTTTTTACCCCTCCACACTAAACTAAACCCAAGATCGAAACTGCTCAAACCACCATCACAACGTTACGCACTACCCTTATCCCTAAGAGAAAATTAAGTTACGAAAATCAGCAGATTCTCTTAAGCGAACTTTTGTGCTGCCTTCTAAATTCAACTGCCAAGAGCTCACTGCCAAGCCAACTACAACGGCTCTATCGGCTTCCAGGCCCTGGTCAGCAAAGCAAAGCATAGCAACCATGGCTCTCGAAATAGTCTCTCTCGAACACCTGCCAAACTCGCACAAGGTCTACGTTGCCCTGTTTCGTGACGTACAGAACTCGGCCTTTTTGCATCAGCAGCTGCTTGCTCGGAACCCCCAGTTCGAGTACGCCTTCATCGATGCCTCAGTGGTGAGTTCCGCCGCGGAGTTCCCGACTTGGGTATAGGGCATTTTCCATTAATACGGAGCATCATAACCAGGTTGTCTCACGGCTTCAATTATTATCCGCTGTGTTTAAGGCTACGTCGACGGCTGTGAATGGCGCTCTCAGGACTCCAAACGTTCACTCCGAGATTGTCTGTGCAATGAGTTCTTCTAATAACGTAATGTGACCCCTTGTTCCGACATGTCTTCGTTTGAGGCTGACACTTCATGCTCAGATTGCTGATGCTTACCGTCGATATGGCATCTCTCCTTCTACCAAAGACCTCATCGTTGTCAAGGTCACATTCCCTGGAGAAGATGGTGCTGAGCCCTTGACACATGACCAGATCTGGGAGCATCTCAAGACCAATGTTGAGGGGGAGGCTTTACCCATCACAGATGACCAAATCTCCTCCACCACTGACGTACCAAAGGTGCGCAAGTACTACAAGCTGAACGGACTCAAGTGGTTGGACGATATCAAAGATGAAAAGGTCAAGCAGAAGGAGATGGAGTCACTCGTCATCGGCGCAATGGCTCTAAGGGGTGTCTGAAGCACAATACCAAGTCAAAAGCTTCACAGTCAATCAAATAATTCGTTAAAGACTAAAACGTAAGTCATTTCTTCATCTATGCTTGATCTATCTCGGATATTGAGATGCTAGACGCCCTGGACTCCTGATCGCTACCCATGATGCAAAACAAAAGAAACATAAAGACATTGATATCAAGTTCTTTTCTCTTCCCTTTTCCCTTTTTTAGTTTTTGTTCTTTTTACTTCTTTAAGCCAAGCCAACGGCGCTCTTGCATCGTCGGACAAGCTCGGCCCAGAGAGCATCCCGGCTGCCCCTGGTTCGCTGGACGGCATCCTTGTTCTCATGCGCGCGTCGCAAGAGGTACTTCATGCACTCGCCAGTGGTTCCCCAGACGAGGTACTTGTAGGCGGGCAGAATCCTGGTCTTGTCAGACTGGCCAGCCTCAACAAGCTCGCAGCTGACCTCGTCAGCCATGCCCTGAAGTTGGGCGAAGGCAATGTCGGACTTGGCTCGGCCGGCCTCCATGATGGCACGGCTTCGTCGCACGGACTCGGCGTTGTGAGAGGCGACGACAAGGCTGGCAGCGGGGTACTCGCCGGAACCCTTGACGTCAATGTTCCACTCGCGGGTGAGGACACTGGCGGCGAGTGAGTCGAAGCAGGCGTCGGTCTCCTCCTTGGTGTCATGGAAGAGCTCGCGGGGGTCAGAGTTGAGATAAGCGCCACGGACAAGCTTGACACCTAGAGCAAAGTTCTCGATTTGAGCGAGCTTCAGGTGGTTGGAGAGAACCTCGGGGCACTTCTTCTTGTAGGCTTGGTAGGTACCAAAGATAACAGCCTCGCCAAGTCCCTTGTTGTACTTGCGGGTGAACTCGAGAGTCCAGTCGTCAATGCCGTCCTGAAGCATGTCCTGCTCGGCGTCGAAGAGGAGGCGGACACCTCGCTCGTGGGCAAGTTGGCAGATGGAGTCGATGGCCTTGTACATGGCGGGGCTAGGAGGAAGACGGTCCTTGAGCTGGTAGAGAGCGATGCTTCCGGCGCCAGTAAACTTGAGGGCGACAAAGTCACCAGGCTCAGCAAGTCGGACAGTCTCGAGGGTGCCTCGGGCCCAGGGAAGAATCTCGTTCTGAATGCACTCGTCGGTCTCCATGGCACCATTCTTCAGACCCTCGCCCTCATCCTTGGTGAGGACGACCTCCTTGGCGTAGTTCAGAATGACACCAGTGAAACCAATGTTCTTGAGTCCATCGATAGTCTTCTTGATCTCGGGTGACTTCTCGCCTGCGCAGAACTGGGCGTAAAAGGTCTTCTTGAGGAAATATCGCAGAAGAGGGTTCTTGTCGGGGTTGAGCAGAGGGTTGGTGGTGTTGGCCAGAATACCCATGACGTGCAGAGAGGGAGGTAGGAGCAGAGGCGAGGAGGAGACGGTCATGGTGGCGAGAGATCGGAGAATCATGATGAGAGGAAGAACGGAGAGAGGCGCCTTGCTGGGAGCGATGGGAGGAAGCGGATCGGGGATCTGCTGCTGCTCGACGATGGTGTTTGTGCGTCGCTCAGAGGAGTGGATGTGGCGGCGGGCGACCATCTTGGTCTTTGTGATGGTGAGGCATGGTCGGAGTGTGTTGATGGTGATGGCGTTGGATGCAGTCGCCCAGCGAAGGGGCTGGGCAGTCCCTCGCCGAAGGGCCGAGCTCATTATATGAGATGTGTGTGGTGTTGAGTTGAAGGTCCTAGGTTGGTAGTTGGATGGAGATGCTGGATCAGTATGGAGGGATCCAGATGGTGATTGTGTTGATGTTAGGTTGGGTTTACGGAGCGATGATGCAAGATAAGTCAAGTTAGGTTCTATCTGGTTGGGTTTGTTGGAATGGGCAACGGGTGGCAGAGAGCTTATTATATCCATCTCAGAGGGCAGTGACTATCAGTGCCAGTGTCGGTTGACTGCGGTGCTTGGTAGCTCTGGTCTGTGCCTGGGCTGGGGCGTGTGAGGGAGGTGGCGCTATCTCCAGCCCGATAATCCCATATCTCCCTTGCCTTGTTTGTTTAGCCTTCCCCCATTCCACAGCAGAGAGACAATAAAATCTTCGCCATTGATCTCCAGCTTGCTCCAGTTGAGCTAGTCATTCATGGTCATGTTTACGCTATACCAAGGGGACCCCCCGGTCCTCCGCAGAGGCCGAGCCAGACCGGCCCGTGACTATCAATTTGGACTGCAGGCGAAGGAAAAAAAAGAAAAGGGACCCAGCTGTACGGAGCTTATCAGCCGTCACGTGGCTCATTTTAGCTTCCATCACCATGATGGCCGAAAGTAGCCGTTGAGGGGCGTGGGGGGTGCAAGCCCACGATAATTGGGGAGATTGGGAAGCTGGGGATTTGGTTTCTGTGATTGCCGCAACAGGCCGCGATCCCAGTAAATACGTGTTATGTAATTGGTGACACTGGCAAAACTAGCAAGCACAGGGCATTGTGGGGAACCCTTGGAGATGCATCACCAGCATTCTCTTAACTGTTTTGAGATTGACAGTGCTGGCTTGTGCTGAGACCTGAGACGTCTTGTGACTTGTTTTGATGACGATGTGTCCGTGTCTCTAACTTTCACAGCCAACTTCCATTGTTGGTCAATGATGTGCAAGGGGGCTGACGATGATGTGTTGTTTGCCATTCGGTACTTTATGTACGGAGTAGATAAGGCGATATGGATAAGATATGCCGACATCCAATCCATCCAATGGATGACGAATGGGGCTCTGCTACCGTATCTCAATGGCCTGCAACGGAGAGAGAGAAAAATGTTCGATCTCGCTAGAAGCCTTCTGCAGCGCTTGCTTATCGATGATGTCTCCATAAATGACCGACCAAAGCCGCTGGCCCTGGGCTGGCATACGGGAGAGGCGTTTACCTAGAGAGTCCTAAACTCGGAGGGCCCCGATAACAACGACACTAGCATAGTTTTTTATCTCTGAACTGATCTTGCGCCAATGGATGATTATTCCCCTGTGCTGGTCTCTGGTCAGTGCGATAAGTTATGAACCATTGACCAAGTCGTGATATATCTACATTTTATATATTGTACATTGAAGAACCCAATTGCATCACAATGTTGGACGAGCATCATCTTCTTCCCTTGTATTTGACCTCCGACCTCGCAAGAACTCGACATACCCGATCGGTCTGCCTCGGGCTAAGCCAAGCACATCTTGAATCCCACCGTACGCAAGACCAAACAACAACCCGTATCGCGCGGTCCGGGCGGCGGTTGTGAGTGACAGGCGATCTAGATGCACACGCCGAATATCGGCGCTTGTTAGCTCATCTCTTTCTGCCGCCCGTGAGGTAAAGTAATGTAATGTAAAAGAAAACCCCTGCTCCACATCATGCAATGCTTGCAATATCTACCCGTCGCTTTCCATCATCAAAGCTCCCAAAACGCCATGCATTCCCCATATGGGGTTTTGCGCAATACCGTTTCCCTTAGTCAAGCCGAGGTCGAAAGAGATAACCTAAAGAGAGAAAGAAAAGAATTGACCACTTACGCCAAAGAGAAAATGCGCCGGCGACTGTAAGCGTAGCTATCGTCGTAGAAAACATGTCGCTCGCCCCGCGATATCGATCGACCGTGCTCTCAAGTGACAAAGCCAGGAAGCTCCAGAAGCCCGTCTTGAGACCCATGCGGAAGCCCTCTCGTATGCCGCCCTGCATGGCGTGGTAATTCTTGCTCTTGTGGTAGAAGTACCACCCTGTCGTCGTGTCGGGCATCTTGTGCGCATGCTCCGCCCGGAACCGCAGCTGCGCCATCTGTCCGCCCTGCGTCGCACCAAGCGAGAAGCCCACGACTGCTGAAGATATTGTTCCCAGCATGAGCCGCACTGGCGTCGCGATGGACAGGCGCGGGTTCGTGTCCTGGGGGAATGTTAGATCTGAGGGCATGGGCATTGGCGCGCTCGGCCGGGGTGACGGCGTCAGGGTCGGCGACGGAGCGGCGGCCATTGTGGTGAGGACTGGGAATATCTTGTTTCTAGGCTGTGCTCCTGTTTTCAGAGAAGGCCGAGATTGTCGCGAGGCTCTGCGGCTAGTGGAGTCTCGTCTCGGTGGTGGGATGCGGAGAACGAAAGACCAGCCGGAGTTTGCAATCCCGGCGGTGGATGCTGTTTTTTTTGGCACCGCTTGGAGTCGGTAATAAAGAAGAGGGGTTGCACTTGGGGTTGGAGTTGGTAATAAAAAGATGACAGGCGAAGGCCCGATTGAGATATGTTTCTTGTATCGTGAGATTTGAATATGTAATTGAATTGACTTCGCTTCGATGTTTGCCTGATGCGAACTTGAGGCTCATGCCATGATGGACAGTGCGTTCATGCATTAGTACAGTATCCACGCACGGTCTACCTTCACATGAAGCTTGAGATGCAGCAGTCTGCAGTTTTCAGAATGTTTGAGAATCCAAATGGCCAGTTTCAACACTCCAAAACAAATTCTATAGAGTAGACCAGCTGTTAGGGAGTGAATTTCAGTTGCTCATTTCCTCAAGTCAAGAGTAACCTAGGCCCATGGCCAGCCAGATGATTCTTTCGACATCCATTTTCAGTGCATGTTCCAGGGTAGCATTCGGCTTCTTCTAGAAGCTGTCACTCTATGCCTTGCTCTCGTTCCTGGATCTTGCTGCTGAGTTGTCACAAATCCTTGACGATGACGTATCGATAGTTTAGTTCTTATAGGACAGCAATTCTGCGCTCCATCTCAAGGAGCTGGGATATCCATCCACCTTAATGGAGTGACAGCGTTCAAATCCTGCCTGTGTCCCTCCATCTACGCGCTGTCACGTGATGTCGCGCTGAGCTGCGCCGCGGTTGGCCCCCGCCAATGCCCCTCATGAAGAACCAAGCGAGGCAGCTTTGAACTCTGACGTCTTCCCAAACCTTCGTATCAAGATCGACACAATGGTACTACACAGATCGCCTTCTTCTGATGCGCCTCGATGCTAATGATACCTCAGACTGACGTCGATGACGCAAACATCTCGGTGCGCTTCAAGCACGGCATCCATACCATCTATCTCTTTATAGACGCCCTCGCCCCTTTCTCCAGTGCCGCCACTGAACTCCTCAATGTTCTGATCGAACGATACCCCGATGGCCTTACCAAGTCATTTGATTCTTCCGAGAAGACTACCTACGACGCAGACTCAACCCTTGCATTTGGCGCATTGAAGACGCCGAATGACCCCTCGAGCGGATGGGTCAAACTCAAGACGGGCGATGGAGAGAAGACACCAGCAGCGTTGGGACTGAAGAACAACAGTCTTCTTGCTTTTGCGGTGCTGGATGAGGAGGGTGATGAGCCGGAGTTTGAGGTGGAGTGGCCAAAGGAGGATGAGGAGCTTTATGAGGAATAAATCAGCAACGAATCTTGAGATTCATCCTACTTGGAATACATTTCCGCGGCGGTAAACTGGTCCCCCCCGCCCCGATGCTGGGGGTAAGAAACACCCCCGATGCGAGACTGTTGTCGAGAACACGCCTGAGGACGACGCCTCACTGGGCCTACAGGATTACCGAGAAGTTCTGAAAGGAAACATTAAAGTAGATACCCACTTGAACGCTTTACATGACGACCAACAAGGATGAGCTGAGCTTGGGTAAGATCATCAGGGTAGGTAGCATTGCAGGCCATAACCTCTAGGTCGCATTGACCGAAATATCACGACGCCAGAACAGAGAAAATTTACTGAATAAAATCAAGCATATTTTTAAGAATAGAGAAACTCGCCATTGTTTCAATTCCGTCTTACATGACTCGCTGAATCAATGATGCGGCGTTGCTCTCCCTGAAAAAGGGGTCCAAGGCGCATGACTAAGCCATTTAAACTTCACGTGTCGTCAATTCTCCAGGGGTACAGCACCTTAAACCAGGGACCAACACCAACTCTCCTTTCCACGACCAAAACGTTGCGCCGCTCCCAACAACGTCCCGTTGGCCTCTTTAAAACATCACCGACGTGACTTGCGCATGATTTCGACTACATGAAAGTCGTGGCTTTTCTCCGCCATGGCCTGGGCCTACTGGTGCCGCTCTCAATAGCATTCACAATCTACCTCTACATCTTCCCCATCGTCCAGGGATGCGCGTTCCCCGTCGAGTCGAGAAATAGTCAGGAGGCCTATGACTTGACCAAGAAGTTCCACTGGCCCTCGAAGCCGACTGCGGACGATCATGCTAAGCTTGCGCCTTTTCGACTACTAGCGCTGGGAGATCCTCAGCTAGAAGGCGATACCTCGATCATTACGAACTACCTGGGCACTTTCCCCCATGTGCAGAGTGTTTTCAAGCATGTGACGTTCCAGACGACGCACTGGTGCTTCCGCGAGCGAGTGCGAAAGATAATACACGATATTGTTGATATAATCATGGAGGATCTCCCCTACTACCTCATGTCGCAGCGCAAGCGGTTCGATCTATGGGGCAACGATTTCTACCTGGCGCATATCTACCGCCAAGTGAACTGGTGGTCCAACCCTACCCATGTGTCGGTTCTCGGCGATCTTGTCGGTAGTCAATGGATCGACGACAAGGAGTTTGAGAAGCGAGGCCGACGATTCTGGAACCGTGTGTTCAAGGGAACCGAGAGATTGTCCGACGAGTTGGCGCAAAACCCGAGCAATGAGTACAACATTTCTGGCGTTTTGGATGGTAGCGATGAAGCAAGGCTTTGGAAAAAGAGAATGCTCAACGTGGCGGGAAACCACGACATTGGATACGCTGGAGATTTGACCGAGGAGCGATTGGAGCGCTTTGAACGAGTTTTTGGAAAGGCGAACTATGAGCTGCGGTTCGAGCTGCCCATCACAGATCCCGAGACGATAGCTACGATGTACTCTGATTCCAACCTTGAGTCGAAACGAGTCATCCCCGAGCTTCGCATTGTTGCTGTCAACGATATGAACCTTGATACACCGGCGAAGTCTCTTCCTTTACAGGATGCGACATACGGCTTCATCAACAACGTCATTTCGACCGCAGGTTCCGTTCAGTACGAGGGTCAATTCACTCTGATCCTCACGCATATCCCAATGTATAAGCCGGCAGGCATTTGTGTTGACGCTCCTTTCTTCGACTTCCACACTGCAGCAGACGGCGGAGGTCTCAAGGAGCAAAACCAGCTCAGCTCCGACGCCAGTCGGGGTTTCTTGGAAGGAATCTGGGGCATGAGCTCAAAGAGAACAGCCCCAGGCGGTGGCTATGGCCGCGCAGGTCTAATGCTCAACGGCCACGATCACGCCGGCTGCGACACGTACCACTACATCAACCAGACAAACGGCACAGACCCCTCTCAGCGTCAATGGGAAGTAAAAACCTGGTCCGACGCACAAGATCTGAAGATCCCAGGCACCGATGGCATACCGGGCCGACGCGAGATCACCGTCCGCAGCATGATGGGCGACTTTGGCGGAAACGCCGGTCTGCTGAGTCTCTGGTTCGACCAGGAATCATGGGAGTGGAAGTATGAGTACGCCACGTGTCCGCTGGGAAGCCAGCACTTCTGGTGGTTCGTGCACATCTTTGACTTCATCGTGCTGGTGTGGATGCAGTCGTACGCTGTGCTCTCTGTGATGGAGGCTTATGGCGTTGATGTGGACGGGCCGTTTTGGAGGGGCGTGTCACGGATGAAGGATTTTGTGCTGCGACGGAAACAAAGTGTCCGTGATAAGAAGTGAAAAAGTGTTTGGATAAACGATGTTTGAGTAGTGAACATTTTCTTATAGAATTCAAAGCGTTCTGTTTTTTTCTCTCACGTTTCGCTCGGGATTGCCGTTGGGTGAATTATGGGTGGTTGTAACGGTGTTGGGCCGAGACATTTTCGCAATGGGGAGCTGAGTTGAGTAGATATTGCGAGGTGCAGGGCTGGAATAGGATTAGGGTTGTTGTATAAGGTGTGGTGATGGGTGTGGTACTGATGGTAACGGTGTTGGACAGAGATCAGGGCCGCGCGGCGAGGTTGTACGATCGAAGGAAGTGTATTGATATGGTGAAGTCTTGGGGTTGAGGCTGAAGCCAAGATAGCTGCTGTTGGAAGCTCAGGGCACGCGGCTCTGCTTTTTAAAGCAAGACCTGGGGCTTGCTATCGCGAATATACACAATATTCATGAGGCTCTGAGTTCTCGATACGGTCCAGAGAGTGCTGAGATGGCCCTCAACAATGACAAGGTAGTCATCATGAACTTTCCCTGCTTACCAATACCATAGACTGTACCATCACAAACACAAACACTTATTCACGTCTTTCAGCTGACACGGACCATATCATAGTAGTGCCATGATGTAAAAGACTCTTGCGCGTGGTCTACCACGCTGGTAGCATCAGCATCGTGGTGATACAACCGTTGAGGTTGCCCAGCGACCAAGAAATTCTGCCAGATCCGGCGAAGCACCGCTATCTATCGTGGAAGAAGGTCCGTTGCGCAGGATCGTGTGCAGAGTATGATCAAAGCAACGGCTGTTTGTGTGAGATCAAGTGATTGGGAAGGGTGACTACATAAACCCAGGACCAAACCGCTGGGACTAAGTTGAGATTCGCATGATCATACTGACACAAGACGAATACCATTTATTGAGATACTGCTTGAACCATGCTGTCTCTTCACGGGCTTGGTGTACTGATGCTTCTGGGCGTCGCAGAAGGCATCCCGCGACCAGACGAAGGTCATCAAGAGCCACTTCTTGAGCACCATGCAAATATACCAAGGGACAATGGCGTGCCTACCGATATGGTTGGGGCGATGAGTCCTCAAACAGACTACAGAACTATGCCGGCGGGCACTTACACCGAGACAATCTCAACAGACCTCGTCAGGATAATCGTCGTCAACGAACCGACACCTACAACGGCCAATCAGGCAAAATGCCCAGTCGAGTGTGATTGCACAAGGATAAAAGATAAGAACAGCGAGGAGTAAGTCCATGATGCCAATCAGGCTTATTGTGCATGTTGCTGACACGCTCAGATACGCCCAGTGCTTGACCAACGCAGCATGCAGACCATGCAGAGAGCCAAATCTCACAGCTTCATCAACGATAAAGCCAAAGGCAACATCATGTCCCGCTGAGTGCGACTGCACCAAGATCAAAGACGAGCAAAGCCAAGAGTAATTACATTTCACCTTCACTATTACAAGCTTCACTTTATTAATGTGCAACAGGTACTTCCAATGCATAACAAACGTCAATTGTCAGAGCTGCAGAGTGGGAACCCCACCCAATTAAACAAACACGTGAAAACAGGTTATCATTGCATGTGGTGGTATTTGGGGAGCTGACGAGACTTTCATCTGTCGTATGATAGCTAGATAAAACATGTTGACAAAAGAAAAAAAAAGAGAATGCGTTTCTTTTCCCCCGAGCTTTGGAACAAATGCAACGCTAGAATCCGTGAATTAAGCCATGCTGTTGTTTGTTACGGGGTTTTAACAGCAGCAGTCGAAGCACTCAAGACAACACTCGCAGGTCTCGCCGCAGAGCCAGCAGCAGCAGAGTGTAGCGAGACTGTAGTTTGTTAGTATGATTGGTAGGGCAGTAGAGAGTGAGTGATGCTTACCATGTGTATAGACAGCCGTGGCTCTTCTCTTCTTGCTGTGGTGGTGGAGGGCCTTGCTGGTACTGCATCTGCGCATTGTCAGAAACTGGTGATCTTCCCCTTGAGCTTCATGAACCTACAGGCGGAGGGCCAGGGGGATATTGGCCCTGAGGGGCGTAGCCCTGCTGAGGAGGGTAGTAGCTGTCCAGATGTTAGCCTCCCTCTTCTTGATTCTTCTTCTCGTGACTGAGAGAGAGCTTACCCTTGTTGATTGGGATCGTATGGAGCAGACATTATGACAGATGTGGTTTGTGGGTTTTGTGAAATGTGTAGATGCGATGGCAGAGTTGGAGACAGGAAGAGAGAGCGTCAAGTTATATTATTAGACCCCATGCGTGTTTTGCTTTCCATCTGGAGAGGGTCACAGGGGGCGCAGTTGCAGACGAGACGAGACGCCAGATGATCTGTATACTTCTTGGCTCTTTGCTGTGACCTTGGCGTAATAACGGGAATCCCGTGCACCAAGGCCGATTTAACCGTACAGCAGTCTTGGCACCTTCTACACAGACACTTTTACTGATTGGCACTCTAGGCACTCACTGAGTTGTTGGTCCTCTGCCCTGGGCTTGCACTAATTACTACCTAGTTAGCGACGGTTATGCCGGCACGTTCCGTTACGAATCGGCAAATGATATTGGGTTTTGACAGCCTTCCCGTCTTTCACTCTAAAATGTTAAATTACAGTCTCTGGGTCCTCTGGGCCCCTTCTCAGCTAAGGGTCTTGGTGCCTCCACTGCGAATTGACGTTGCAGGGGTTCGGCGCTTGGCAATTGCGCGTCCTCCATGGCTGAGCTTCACTCCTGCATGAAGGGTCCCCTTGGCGTCAGAGGATGGGCCTGAAGATTGCAGACTAGCAAATGCCTGACGGAGCACGAGTCAAGTTTGTTAAAGCGCTATCATGAGATTACGAGCCACAGCTCTTCATAGGGTCTTCCGTATAAGTTGTTCATTGCTGCGGAGCTCTCACCGTATTCTTGATAAAGAGCTGATCCTCAGGCTGTTATGTTAGCCTTACTACTCCGTACATGTCCCGTTCTTGTCCTGTCCCGTCTTGTCATGAAACACTCCTTGCAAGTTGCCGTTGTATTCCCGAACCCTGTACGATCAACGCGCGCGTGTACAGGACGTGCAGGTACCGCCACGATTTACGAATACTACAAGGGCGAATGAATTGAAGCTGTCCAAAGCCGCGGGGACCGATTCCCTCTAACACGCGTTGTTCAGCCACCGAATATTCGCTTTCGACTGCGGCTGAGTTTGTCTCGGCATTTGGTGTTTTGGACAAGACACTTGCCGCTGTCACGTTGTATCGCTTAGTTACCGGTTTGCGCCGCATTCGGTGCCCGACAAATGCAGCCGCCGACGGAATCTGTGCCAATTGATGGACGCAGTTGGTTCATGCTAACGTTGGATGCTTCTCAATTGTTGCTATCTTTAGGGGTTCTCTTTGATTAGAGAAGCACTCGGCGCAACAGGCACCTCTTCCAAACGCTTTGATTTGCGCCTGGCTTTCTGTTGTCTCGACCTGAGCGAAGCGGGCGCAGGAAAGACAACCATGCAACTCACGGGCATGCAGCCAACCGATCGACGTGCTCCTTAATCCGCAGAGCAGCTTCTTCCGAACTCAATTTCGTGACATCCAGCACCAACTCGGTCTCATTCCCGAAGCGATAGATTGATTCCTTCTCCAGAATCGGCCTCAATATCGTCTCGTCCGTAAGCTTCGCGCTGATGCTTTGATTCCGCGCCGGAATGATCGCCCGCCTTATGTTCTCCTCAATCTCGCACTCCAGCACGATCGATATGAACGAAACGTCTCGCTTTCTTGCTGCAGCCTCGTAATCCTTCGCGCCCATCTCTCCCGCCGTGCTTGCGTCTCGCGCATCCGTAAAGATCCACGTTGTATCCTTGGTATATTCCGACGTCGCGATTTCGTTCAGGACATGCCGCCGTAGACCCGTTCGCATCTCCTGGTAGCCTGGAGACGAGCGCTCAACGAGGGCGTCGATGGGATCGATGAGGAGGTGATTGTGGTAGATCTTTGAGCTGGGGAGTAATTGCTGGAGCTCCCTCGCGATTGTGAGCTTCCCGATGCCGGGGTAGCCATTGATGTAGACGAAGCATAGCATGTTTCGGTAGGGGGACGTGATAATCTCCTGGCAAGAGATCTGCAAATGCGATTTTCGTACTGCCTTTTTACTCCAAGGGTTCGTGAATCGTTGAGAAATTGCGGACGTTGGTATTTGTAGTCCGACCAAAGGTGAGTCACTGTTATGCTTTTAATAACCACCGAACCCTCCCAGTGTAGCCACTCAACATCACACACGAGAAGCTTCAGTTGACGACTCAAACTTTGATCATCCAACCAATCTTCGCAAATCCTGCTCTAGAGGATCAAGAACTCCAGAAATCACATCCCCTTGAAAGCAACACGAGTTCCCAGACGCACCAATTTGCATATCTGATCGTAGGCACCGCTCGACCGCATTGTAATATCCAGAGCCACCAGTCATCATGACCCTTCCCAAAAGCTTATTGGCAGCTTCGTAGTCAAGGATATGCCTTGGTAACCCGGGCTCTAACGTTTGAGTCTGGGGTGAGTCTGGAGTTGCTATCGATTGGCCGAGAATGAGCTCAATGAGTAGAATTCCGAGATAAAGCATGAATGGGTTGTTTGGTGACACTGATGCATTGACCTTGGGATATTCTGGGAAGTGTCTGAGGACAAAAACATGCTGAAATTGATGAACACCACCCTTTTGGGCAATGAAGATATCTTCACTTCTTGGAATGTCCGCAACCCAAGGCGTACCTTGCATCTGTAAGACACCACAAGCGATCATCCAAGCTAAGCGTAGCCTATCACCGTAAAGCAGCGCTGGATCTTGAAGCACTTGTTTTAGTGGTACCAGGGACCATTCATCACAACTTCCCAGACACTCAAGTGTGTAGACATCATACTTCTTAGTTTCCGTCATGTAGCAGTGCTGAATATGTCCACATCTTTCGCCCTGCTTCTTCTTTCCCATCGTTTGCATCGTTTCGCACAGATTACTGATGTGTTTCGAACAAAGAGGCTTAGACATTGTTCTAAGAGTGTTGAGTGTGAGGTTTGATAGGGCTGACTCGATGACAACTGTTTGCGATTGCTGGCTGTTTGTTGAAGAGGTGGTTGAGGGGACAGCAAATCCAACTGTCTTCCTCGAAGCACATGTACTTTGTGCAGTGAAAGAAACAGTCGACATCTTCGAATCCTCTCCACTCCTCAAGAGAATTTCATTCCATTGCTTTGAGGTATTGACGTGCGATCCCGTCAGGTATGAAACTGCAAGGCGGAACTGCAAGTCCTTGATAATATCCTCATCCTCATCCTCAGGAACAACAGTCCGTGATGGCGGCGTAAGCTTCAACCCGACATCGTGTAGGCCCGAGCATTTGCAAGTCATTGTAGACCGTAGGGCATAATATATGCCACTCAGCATTCCGTTGACGAGTTTGTTAAGTCTCCCATGTGACCGAGACTTTCTTTGTGTCTCCAGATCCGTGTTGAGGGCTGCGAGGCGCTGAAGAGCTGAGACACCATCTCGAATCCTCGTCAAGGCTTCCTCGTGATTCGACTTTTGGAAGATGAATGTTGCTCGCTTGAACTGCTTTTTTATCGAAGAGCTTTCAGCCCATTCCGCCTGCTCCAGTTAGCTGAGACACAACGTTGACCATAGCTTCCTACCTTTCCGTCTGTACCGACATTAAGCTTCTCCATCATCTCCTCAATAGCTTCCCTCATGTCCTGCACGCGATCATCGAATACCTGCAACGATGACCAGAGCCTCAGGCGCAGCTTGTTGAAGATCTCTTCTTCTCTCCAAAGGTCTCCGAATGGATCTCGAATCATTTCCTCGATGCGCGTCTGTGGTGCAATTCCTGTTAGGAGCTTCTCGCATATGGTTTGAAGATCGATATGTTCCGTATTGAGAACCAAGATGAGCCTCTTGATGATTCGTTTGTAGGCTCGGAAATTCCTGAGACCGTTCATGTAACATTGTAGTGCAGATACCACAATGGGTATGCTACCCAGCACGATACCGGCGACCTCCAAACCCGACATTCGAATGAAATCTCTTCAGACGGTGATGGAAGGACAAAGGCGTAAGAGAAGAATTTTTGAGGCTCTGAGCCTGACCTTTTTCAGCTGCGCTGATTGAGGGTTGAAAAGAAGAGGGGTTGCGGCTGACGTGCAGCTGAATGTTGATCTGACCAACAGCACCTGCAGATAGCACATTTCCATGGGCCATCAGCGGGCGAGTGCCACTCCAACATTCTTTCCATATTTTCTGAACCGATGAACGAGATAACAATCATCGCCTCGTCTTCATTGTAACCCCTAGACAACCATGAGCACTATTGCTGATCGTGTTTCGGCTTGTCTCCAAGAGTTCAATAGCCTCTGCAATTCCCCGGCAATATGGACAGACAGTGTTCTCGGCAAGGGTACTCAGAGCGATTTATCGCTCTTGAAGCTGCAGAACGAGCTGAGCAGATTCAAAGTCTGGAGTGGAAACATTGGCGCTCATAAAAAAGGAAGAAGCTCGCTCGATCACAGGCTTCGGGATGCGTCAAATATTCGGGATCAGGTGGTTGAGCTTTTGGAGGACTTGAGGGAGTCTCTAAAAGATGGCAAGTCTCTTCGATTGAGCTGCAAGATTCTGTCTGACATCAACAGCCAAGGACATCTTTACGGGACAATTGACACCGTGGGATCAAGAGCAGCCCCCAGCTAAGTTTTCAGATGACGATTCCGATGATGGATCTTTGGCAGTCGACGTACTTGGACCATCTGAGCTCTCTCAAATATTTGCTGCCATCGTTGAAGACATCAACTGCTTGTTTAGACTTTCGGTGTCCATTCACAATCCGTCTCCTCACGACCGCTTCAAGAAAGCCTGCTTAACCGATACATCTAGCTACGAGCCATTTGACGTCCAGCATGTGTGTAATAAGCTCTCTAAAGCACCGAAGCCCATCGCTGAAAGACTTGGAAAGGCGATTTCTCGACGAAGGCAGTATTTCAAATACAGAGAACTACATCATGGGAAGTTAGCCAGTGGGCTTGAACTCGATGGTAAGGACCAGATGCAGAGTACTGTAGCCTCTTCATTGCCAAAGAGGCTTAAGGTGAATGAATCTATCTCTCTGGAGAAGGACGTGGATGATGCATCGGACACCAGAAGATCACAGACTTCTTGGGCAACATCAGCTGCGAATCCAGAAAGACGTAAGATACCTCCCCTCCCAGCGGAAGCCGAGAATGGACCCTTCGAGTGCCCATTTTGTTTTATGATGATATCTATTACTTCGAGGATTCATTGGAAGTTAGTTTCCCCTCCCTTGGCAATATGGATATTACTAACTAGAGTCCACAGGAAACACGTATTCTCAGACCTGTTTCCTTACGTTTGCGTTGAGTTGGGTTGTCCGGCCCCAGACCAAGACTTTCAGAGACGTCACCAGTGGGCCGGTCATGTCAAGAAACACCATTGGAAGACATGGACCTGCAAGCTTGGATGCAACGAGACATTTGTCTCCTTGCAAGGTACGAAGGGGCATTTGGCGCAAAAGCATTCAGAAACCGCGGAATTGACTCACCTCGTCAGCCTTCTCGCCATGTGCGAGAGGCCTAAGTCAGAGTACGAGCCGGCAGACTGTCCTCTATGCGGAGAAAGACAATCTTCATTTAAGCAATACCAACGGCATGTTGGCCGCCATCAAGAGGGTCTCGCTCTGTTCGCATTACCCCATCTTCCAGGGGAAGAAGATGACAAAAACGAAGCATCTGATTCCGACTCCGAGGGAAAACAAGAAGCGGAGTCTGAAGAACAAGACGAGTTGCAGAAAGCCAGCTCTTATGTCACCCGTATTTCTAATGAGAGCGGAGACGAGGTTACAGATGTACCGGAGCGAAGCATTCGATATGCTCGAGAGGAAGTTTTCGCTCCTGTCTCTGCCATAGACGAAATTGTCGATGGGCCAGGCCTTACACTACCCGAATCCCGTCCATGGAAGTGTCCAGATGTGGCTATGACACGCAGAATTGGTCGAGGAGCTCAGTACAATGGAACCAAGATAATCTGGTATGATGATGAAAAAGACGGAACTTAGGGTTTGGGAGGCTTTGCACATCCTGGAGGATGAGTTGGAAGTCGAATGGCTTCCGATATGCAAAGAGACCGCCAACCCATAGATGGTTCAGTAGAGAAGAAGGACGAGCGGTTAATCATTATCAATAGAGTTAATTGAAACATCTTAAGGAAGCTGAGGTGGTCAAATGTAAGAAACGGCTTATCGAGGAAAAGGTCGACGAGCTTCTAGCAAGGCTCGCAGATAACCTCAGCAGCTGGTGATACATCACCAATTCGAGGGAAATCATTGTAAATACTAGAGAGAATTAAGAGACCCCTTTAGAAGCGCCATGTTTCAGGTGCTTCTGACATGTCTGGGGGGAACAAGGTTCGGGTTGAGAACATTTATCTGGTTGGCTTGGTACCTTCACGATGAAGTGTCAGGACTGGATTTCGGAGGGCTAAGAGATGATGGATCAGGATAACAATGATAAGTTTGGATATTAGCCAGAAATAACGGAGGTCAACTGAGAAGAATCGTCTGAGAGACGATGAATCAGAGTGATGCGTTTTATGTTAGGAGCCTATGTTTAGTCGGGATTTTGACAGCTGGCTAGGTCTACGGCCCGCCCGGGCCGTTATCCTAATTAGTGGGTCGGCTTCGACAATGACCAGGGAGACCCCCTTATCATATGATATGATATCATGTCATGCTTGCTCTGTTTGAGAATGACTGTTAAAAAAAGGCCTCAAACCTCAGAGAGTCATATTCTCCAAGCTCTTTGACTCCCAATGCCCCCATTCAATGTTGATGTTTCCTCTGTTACCTTGAATTTGCTCTACATTTGATATATGATCATGTCGAACCAACCAGTAGGAGATACGACGCCGCCCGAGGTGCCCGCACCAATCATCGCTCATACGAAGTCTCCGTCGAGATCTCCGCCAGCCCAGGGCGAACTTGTCCTTGCGGACGATTCTGATGTCCGTCCTTCAGGCCTCTTTTATATCGAGGACTGTGCTTACTTTCTAGCAGCATGACTCTCATGGGGATGCCGACTCTTCCATAGGTACCGATACGTCAGTGTCTGCAGATACAGTGTATATACCGTGAATTTGACAATCTTCGCAGCGAGAGCTCGACCGCCTCTGTTTCTGCTAGTATCCTCGAGTACCGTCGCAGCCAAGGACGCACGTACCACAGCGACAAATTCACCGCAAATTACTTCTTCCCCAATGATGATCAACAAGTTGAGTCTATGGATTTGACGTAGGACCTAGCCCATGCCCCAAGGTGTATCAACGAGGTAGTAACTAAACAGCAGGCACCATTACTTGACGCTTCTTTTGGATGGTGAACTGTTTCTTGCTCCTGTCAAGATAGATTCTGCACAGGTGAGCTGCTCTGAAAAGTCCCCAAGCTGGCTGAAAGCACCTGTGCTGATTTGTACAACACTTCCTGAAGCGAGTTCTAGATGTTGGTACTGGAAGCGGTGAGTTCTCATCTGTTCCTCTTTTGGATCCCCACTAACAGGTGCGTAGGCATATGGGCAATGTATGCCATTGTGATGAGTCCGGGTTTAGCTCATGCTTACATATCATAGTGAATTTGCCGACCGATATGCCAACACAGAAGTAGTTGGCACAGATCTATCTCCTTGCCAACCCCAATGGGTCCCCCCGAATCTTCGTTTTGAAATCGATGATGCCACGCAACCGTGGACTTGGAAGGAAGATTATTTCAGCTTCATTCATATCCGATATCTCTTTGGTGCTATTAAAGACTGGAGTAGTCTCTTTAGCGAGGCATACCGATGTTGTGCACCAGGAGGCTGGGTCCAGTCAGGAGAGGCTGATGTCACATTCCGTAGTGACGATGGAACTACTGAGCTGGAACCTGTTTTCAAAACATACCAGAAGCTCTTTGAAGAAGGCAGCCAGATTCTAGGCAACCCCTTCTTTGTCCACGATTTGCAACAGAAGGCTTTTGAAGAGGCTGGCTTTACAGATATTGAGACCGTTGATTACAAGGTATGTTTCTCTGGACTTGACTGCAGTTCACTAAGATGGAATTTCGCAGTTCGCCATCGGTGGTTGGCCCAAAGATCCAAAACTCGCCGAGGTTGGGCGGTTTGTCAAGGCCACGCTGGAGAACGATTTGGAGGGTAAGATAACCAACCTTTGACTATTGATGGATTTCTAACGCCTAATAGGTTACACTCTTATGATGTGGCAGGACGTTTGCCAATGGCCCAAAGATGAATATCAGGTATTTCTCATGAGCTTGCGTAAAGCGATACGCAACCCAAAAGTGCATAGCTACATGACTGTGCGTTACGTGTACGGTCATAAGTAGGCTAGCTATGTTGGTGATCTCTATTTGATGTGAGGCAAATGGTATTTGGAATCGTTTTTTAGGTCATGGTGATCTCCTCCCAGCTGTTGTCTTTTACCGCTTCGCCTTCCATGATTCCGTGAACGTAGCTATCTCCGATCATTTGATAAGTACCATCAGCTCGAGGCCTCAAAACCAATGGCACCGGACAAGACGAAACCACCCAGACACTGTCTCCTTCTAGTGCAGACGAGAAAGCTAGTCCTAGATGCCCTTCGTCTGTCAGGAAAACTTGCCGCTGAGCAGCGTATGTTCCTAGTAGCGATGCGAATCTAGCAGCCAGTATAAACATGTCTGCAAGCTCCTTGGCCACCAGGGACGTCCACTCCAAGTCAAACTCCTCAGAAAACCCCCCCAGTGAGCAGGTCCTCGCCATGAATGAAAATATTGACGCCAGCTGTGAGTCTGGAGGATCAGAGGCACCTAACTTTTGCAGCATCTGTTTGACCCATTCAATACTTGGAAGCATATCGTAAGCTTCGTCCCCATCTCGAGCCACAAGAGACTGGAAGATTGTCAATTGCTCCAAGTAAACAAGTCGTTGGTCGACTGTCATGGAAGTGTCCCAGACCCGCAAGTATTGAAATAAGATGTAGCATAGCCACGCTTTGAAGGAGGCGCCAAGCTTCGAGACATCTATTGAATCGTGTATATTTGCGCCAAAGATGAAAGTACGCCAACAAGCTTCAATACTGAGCTCCCCAGTTACTTTGTAGCGCTTACCGCACCGTAGTAAAAGGGCCGCAAATTGTTCGACGTGGGAGTAGTAAGCGAGTACGTAGAATTGATAAGACCCTGGAATGATCTGTCCGATACGCTGGGCCTGCACAGAGAGCCTGGAACCAGTAATGCTGAATCCCATACAGCCAATCTTGCTGTATCGTGCTGCATCCAATCGAACTTTGCCTCTGGCCCAGGGGAAAAGGATAGGGGCAGTTCTTGCAGCAGATGGCTCGTTCGAGAAATTAGGCACCCATGAGGGTAAGTCCCCTGAAGGTAAGTTCAGTGTGCCACTGTGAAATTCTGCAATCCCAGCCAAGGAGATGAAGCCGAGGTGATTACAATGATTTAGGATGTTGGCCGTTGCGGCTGTAAATACCTCAGCAACTGAAGCATCGTAATTAACTTCCAGATCGCAACGAGGAAGTCCCATATGGCTCGCGGCAATGTTGACCATCCCCAACAACGAATAAACCCGATCACGAGCATTCGTTATCTTGAACTTATGGCTTAACATCATCATGTAAGCTAACTGAGAACTGGTGGTCGTTTTCCATTTATCAGCACCGGTAAGATCCTCGATAACAGAAAGCTGTGGGTGATCTTGGGGGGTTTTCAAGCTTTCGAGGGACGTCTTGATCACACTGATGAAGTGAATAGAGTAGGGTCCTGGCGTCCATGAAATCTGCTCCACCCTGGCCATGGCCAATGTTGCGTTGGGATACCAGCCTAGTCTTTGAATCATCATCAATGCTGAGGCGAGCTGTTCCCAAGAGATGCACTCGCTGTTTCCTAGGAACACAGATGCCTGCCGAGCTAGGACGGTCTCCTGAATCACCCAAGCTCTACGGAACCAATTCCGGTCCAGAAGATCAACAAATGGCTTCCAGCCTTCAGAAGGAATAGGTGGAAGGCCCGAAATTTCGATTTCGCTTTTGCTCGGGCTCACTTGACTTCCAGAAGTCTCCTCAGCCAAGCTGGAAAGTGCCCGTGTCAGACGAATAGCCTCAGCTGCTTCTTTTCCGCCATCACCGAGCCAGATATCGACTCGGGCTGCCATGCTGTAAATCTCGCTCATGATGCCGACCTGGATCTCGCGCTCCCTTTGGTTGGTCTGATCAATACATATTGCGTCGATCCACAAATACCAATCAAATTCTTCGAAGCGCTTGAGCGCCGCGAGTAAGTTTGGTTGGACGTAGAATCTACTGCCGTTCACCAGTATACATGAGTCGGAGACCTTGCGTTTGCCTTCTCCCTCTGGTGCACCCCATGTATAAGATAGTGCATGGTAGCCAAGTGCCTCTGCTTCATCCAGAGAATGAGTGGTCACGTCGATGTTTAGTCTCTCCGACAAGAGGCTGCGTGTTCGCGGACGGATTCTTACTAGACGAATATGTGTCGAGTCGAGTGTTGATTCGTATTTGTACTTGGTACTAAAAGTACTGCTTCTGCGGAGAGTTGTCCACGATGAGGAGCGCATTCTTGGAGGACGGAATTGAGATTGTAACCTTGGTTTGTGGAGTTGATTTCTTGGCTGTATAACTACAAAAGAATGATGTCGCAGATGAATGTTGAGACTGCGAGATTCATTTTGATACCCCCCTTTTCTCTACATGGATATGTTGTGTCTAATTGGTTCGCTGTTACCGCGCGCTTAGATCTCGCAGAACCAACACATTTGAAGCTATAACCACTTTGACCGCCATCCATGACAGGCTAGTCTAATATTAGCAGAATCCGGTTACAAGATCGCACAAAAGCCAAACTCTGCAAGCAATCGGATTCGATATTTTGATTTCAGATCCCAGAAATTCTAATTGGACAGTTGATTTGTTTCCAAGATCAGATTTCTTTCTTGAGGTTGGTGCGGTTCAACTTGGCCCTTTGAGCTAGCATGTGCCCAAAGAGGATGTAGAATGCTATGATATGATGTCAGTATGAAGATAATATGCAGATTGTCATTGCTCAGGTACCTGGAACGTAGATGGCTAATCCGAACCAAAGCAGATATTGATATGCTGGATTGCGAGCTTGAGATGGCCGGATGACTTCGTACACGAGTTTCATCTCAGAGAGAATACCAATGGGATAAAGAACAAGGAACATGTTATATCTGTCGGGAGTCAATTTCTTTCTCGTGTCACATCTCTTCATGCTTCTCACCTCAACCATGTCAAGCCACCTGGCACAGATCCCATCCCCGTCTGAAGAGTAAAGTAAAAGTATCGAATTGCATCAGCCGCATTCCAAGCCATGAGCATAAGACTATACGCAGTTTCCCTATAGCCGACTTCCGGATAGTTTCGTGTAATAGCCCAGACAATGGTGTTTCGACCAGCGACTTGCAGCGCCGTCGTAGCGGGAGCTGCTCGCACAAGACCAGTGACAGCATGGATGATTTCCATCACAGTAAAAGTCTCGGTCCATCGTGCTCTGATGTTTAGTTCATCCCACACAGCGCCATTACCTTGGGTTAACCATAAATAGGTCGTTCTGAGCAAGAGGGCTGTTCGGAGAATGGCTGAGAGGGTGTTATAGAGGAATAAATATGTGGATTGCTTAGGCTTCGAATCAGAAGTTGATCGCGCCATCTTTGCTTTAGGTAATGGAGTCTGAAGATGTAAGATCGTAGATTCTCAGATATGGAGCAGTCTTATGGAAAATTCCACGGCACGCTAGGGAAGGTCCACTAACGCGGATTGAGTTATACCGAGGCTGACGCTTGAGAATTTCCAAATCGAGATGCTACGCCGGAGATTAACTGGAGACAACACCACTCATCTCGGAGACAAATATTCAGGTAGATACACTGAGACATATTCCTCTATCTAGGAAAGGCAAGAGAACCCTGACATCTATTTTGAAGGAGGAAATTATCTAGGTGAATTTAGGATAGACTTGGAGAAGTTTAGTCTATGCAGATTTAATGGACCTTTTGACTACTCTTTGGGCACCCGCTCTGATTCCCAGACAGTCACGAGTTCTCTTGCTCCTTCAGGGTTGCCTAGATAGGGCCTCGCGGACGATCTTGACTTTGGTCACCAAGGTTATGGTACTTATATCTATGTCCTCGACCACGGTGGATGTCTCCGTTCTTTTTACAGAGCAAGTGACGTGGCCCATTGACGTGAGTGACCTGGTTCCAGTTGAAGTTCTCATAGCGAACAATTTATTTATCAGACTGAGTCCGAGAAGAGCCACCGAGGGTTCTCCCTATGAAGCTCATTCTTAACTACCAGAGTCCTATTGTGCAGGACCAACAACAAACCTAAGCTCCGCGATGAATCTCCCACTCTCCATGATAACATCACCTCTGTGCTCGATGTATTTCCCAGCCGAGTCCACAAGACCATACACTTTCATCTTCTCAGGGGCTTGAAAAGTTTGCTTCTCAGCATTTCCTCTAACCTTATCACCGCCGCTACCAAAAGGCCCTAGCTTTCTTTCCGTCGTGTTGATGACCAAGTTGAATATGACTTTCTTGTCAACATCCTGAGCTAAAACTCCTGTATTCCATGACGCCCCAGTAATCACTTCATCATCGTCTAGAAAGATGGACTTCTTGTTGTGGCCAAAACCTCCGAAGTGAATACCATCATAAGCCGCGGTCTCAGCGTGAAGAGAGTCCACGGCGAAATCGTAGGAGACGTCGAGTCTGATAATGTTTGAAGGCGCTGCTTTCTGCAGTTCGAAAGAATGATTTGTGAGATCAGGATCTTCGCCCATGTACTTTTTTTGGTAGATCCTATCATAATCTCCCGTCCATTCCAAAGCTTGATTGGCAACACTGCCGAACGTCTTGATCAAGGACTCAATGGCCGTGATGAACTCCTTGGCTATATCAAAAGGCTTGGCAGTCGAAGGGTCCTCAGTAAATTTGATAGCCTTGCTTGTAAGGCTGGACACCGCGTCAAAAATCGCTTTCATCATAATCGAATGTGCGCAAGCGTCTAGCCGCATCGCCGCGAGGTGGTGAATTCTTTTTGTTGAGTCTTCGTAAGGCAATTCACCACACGATAGCTCAAGCTCAATGATGGGAACATTGCAATTTCCATTACCTCGTAGAAACTGGCTCATACGAGCCCATGGAAGTCCCCGAGATGATTGACGATCTCGGTCAAGGCGAAATAGTGAAGCGACGGGCATTCGAACATTAACAGGGTAGCTATCCGCTGCGATGCCGAGTGTGCAGCCGACGTAGTACAACAGCGCTGATGCGCCAGCAAATTCATGCCCAAGTCCGACGAGCGACGCCAGAAAGAACCACTGCGCGAATGATAGAGACTTGCCGACACTCTCGGGGCCATGGTATTCGAAGCCTCCATCGAAGATAATGTTGTTGAAATCGCCAGATAAGCCGAGAACCTGATCCCAAGTTTTACCCTGAGCAGTGGCAATGGTTGTGACTGCTCTGAACAGTTCTTTTGCTCTGGCCTCGCAGGCTGTAGCATGCATGCTATGCTGCTCATAGTAGGACTGACACTGTTTTGTCAACCCGGTATATCGTTGCCCGCGCTCGAATGTCCCCATCTTCATTTTGCGAGTGTGACCTCTCAAAGAGAGAAGTAGAGAGGAATTAACGTTGTTTTGACAATCATGCTTAAAAATTGAGTTCTTATTTTTCCCTTGGTCTCTCTGTCTGAGAAGAAATCTGCCTAACTCAGCCGCAGCTGAAAGGGACCAGCCCTAGCAGTTGAACCATGGCTTTTTGCCATGCATGTAATTGGTGACGCTTTCGCTAAGAGGACCAGCCAGGAAGAAAATCTAAGCTACCCCTCTTTTGTTCTGCTGTGCCTGAGTACGAACTGCTGGTTTTGAACCAGACAGTCTCAGCAGCTATAATCGCCGTCATCATTATTCAATAAGTTACGCTCCTTGACCTTTTTGGGAGTATAGGGATCAATGCAGCCCAGAGATAGTCAGCTTTTAGTTTACATTAATTTGCCAAATATCCTAATCACAGAAACGATCCAACATAAACCTCATCTTACTCCTCCACTAGTGACAACCGAGCATATCCAACTTAGCTAATATGTACATCCTTCAGACTTGGATAGAGTGATCCTGACCCCAGCGCTGAGCTATACCACGGGGCGTCTTCTCCAGTGAGCACCTGCGACCCTTGATAAAATGTTCCGGACTCGTCGTTATCTCCCAGTCTCCCCATTTCTTCTCCTCGCTGCGATAAAGCAGCGTTATCACCAACTTCTCCCTCTGCTTGCCCAGCGCACGCATAGACTTCATAAAATCCTTATTGTGCTCGTCATTGGGGATGATGATCTGCTTGAGACCAGGCGCCCACTCTGGATGTGCACAAAGCTCATCAAAGGCTTTCGCAGTGATCTTCATTGAGCTAGTACTGGCTGGGGTGATCTCGAGGAGTCTGAGGTCTGGGCAGTTGGAGATCACGCCGAGGAAACTTGCGTCGCCGACTTTGTCTGCGCCGGGGAGACTGACGGTTCTGAGGTTGGGCAGAGCTTTGGCTAGACGGATGACAGCTTCGTTGGTGAGGTCCCTGGCACCATTCTTTGCAGTGTAGCTGACGTCGCTGAAATTGAAAATGAATTGCTAGATCATTTCACGAACTTGACGTGACAAGGCCAAGATGTCTTCGATATGGTCACTGTTGGTATTATGTTAACACTCCTGTCACCTTGAACTGGACGAATTGGCTTACTCAGTCAAGACAAATGCATAGCCAAAGTAAATCATTCTAGTCGAGGTCCCAATGAGGTTATGGTATTTGCCATCCCAATCAGTCACGCTGCTTTTGAAGCGGGCCTGTTTGACGCCTTTGGAGACGGGCTTCAGCAGCCTTTTCTTTGGGGCGTCGGTGCCGGGAGCTGGAGCATCAGCGGCCGCGTTGCTCTTCTCAGTTCGGATGGGAGGCATGGTAAAATATGTAGAGCCATACTGTCTGTGATAGAGACTAAGACCGCTAGATCGTATAGTAAAGACGCTTTTAGATAGAGCACTGCCGGTTTGGAGTGGAGGTTTAATTGATTGTCAGGGGAAAGTTTGGGCGCGACGCGACGCGAAGGTGAGGACTCTTTGGACTAGGTGGCTGAATTAAGCGTCATGGATCTAATCTGCCAATCTGATAACTCTGACAATTGGATGGTGCATTCAATCCAATGCCGCGACTTATTAATCGCGTGTACGGAGTATTTGACGGATTAATTGGCCTTAAAAACCCGGGAAGAACAACGTCGGTTACTCTTTCGTTTGCTCCATCTTTGTGCATTCTAGTCCGCGACCAGGGATTAGACACATGTTGAGATGGCAGTCAGTCTCTTACGGGGCTAACAACCTTCTGAGGAATACCGTTGGACGTCAAGTTTAGCAGAAATCCCGCTTCTTCTAGCTTTTCTCTCAATAGATGATACGGAACGTCTTCTGCGCTGGCACACCCTTCTTTGATGGCAATAGCAGCCGCAAAAGCACTGATCTGCCCCAAGGTTGTAAAGGTATGCTCTGTGCGAACAAGCCCATGGCCCAGATGGGTACTGGACGGTGACCCGGGTGTAAATAAGTTGCTGCACTGAGACGCATGAGGGACGATAGCTTTGAAGGGCACTTGGAATGGCTTCCACGGTGGACCTTCGTTCCAGATGAACCCGTCATCATAGACGGCGCCATCCTTCACAACCCGACGTACGGCGTGGACGTCCTTTTGCACATTAGCTACATTTTCTCCCTGTCTCAGTGGGATTTATTCTCTCACCATTGGCCACAAATTGATTAGAACCGGATCCGGAACCTGAACGGCAGGAATATCGTAATCGTGCCATTTCGTAGTAATGATAACGTCCTCTCGCATCATCCGACGCACGCCACGGGCATACATGCGTCGAGGAAAGTGACCATTGTCGGTAAACTCGTCTTTGGCATAACCCCAGCTACTCCATTCCGAGCGGACCTCTTCAGGCAGAGAAGGGTCATTGGCGAGAAAGTAGAGCTGTCCTAAGATTCAGTGTCAACAGCTTGAGCCCATTCTTATTTCTACAAGGAATCTACCTCTTTGCCAATTCTCTAGCTTCTTTAACAAACGGAGGCGGGTAGACCTGTCGGCCTCAGGGTACTCAAGGGTGCGTCCAGGCATATCGAATCCGAGACCAAGCGGCGTACTTCCGATTAAGTCTGTCTTACCATTTGGCACAACGACCGTGGGTGAAAATATTTTACCCCCGGCCTCGATGTAACGATTATAGATGATGTATTGCGAAGGGTCATAATCGTTGGGCTTTTTGAAAGGTACGAGATTGTCAATACGATTCGTCAGGCACAACCGCCAGGAATAGGCTTGAATCTGGTCATCGCTGTTAGAGGAATGGCCTTGTCAGTCATAGTTCAAGATTCTAGAGAAGGCTTTCGGGTTCGCCGTCGCACGACCAAGGCTTGACATACCCATCGCCCTGTTTCCCGAGAGGGTCCGACTGAACAGTCGGTATCATACCACTGCTGGGATTTCCAGGCTCATTATAAGGATCCACAGGTACCTGAAGATTAGAATACTTCGAATCATGGCGTATACCTGCCATTTGTTCGTCAAAGTCGTCGACTGACTCTCGTCCAGTGACATAGTTGACACCGGCAGAAGCAAAAAGGTCGCCCTCATAGGTGGCATCGATAAAGTAGGGCGCCGAGAAGTGCTGGCCATCTTCGGTGATAATATAAGAAATCGAGGTGCCGTTTTTCACCACGCCTTGGCCGTTGCCAGTTCCTTTGAGGGAGGTATTGATAAAGACCTGAACATTCTCTTCTTCTTTGAGCCAGTCCAAGATGGCCTGCTCACCTTTGTGGCTCTCATATCGCCACAAGCTCTTGTCCTTTGTATGATTGGCCCAAGCCTCGTTAAATTCACGCAATCGATCAGGGCCGTATGTCGAGATAACACGTCGGTAGAGCTCAAGTACCATTGGCCCGATTGTTAGTGAGTTTTGGAAATTGGGCTAATAAATGATTTAAATCTTTATACCCTCTGCAGCTCAGACAATATGCAGTAACTTACTTGCGAATCAAGATCGGCACCACCAGCTCCCTCGACGACCATGCCGCCAATATGGGCACTCTCCTCCAGCAATGCCACTGATAGATTCAGCCGAGAAGCTTGGATAGCTGCGGCCACACCAGCTCCGGTACCTCCAACGATGACCAGATCAAACTCATATCGCTGGGTTGTGGAACATGTCTCTCCACTGAGGATAGCCACGGACGACATCAGCAATAGATAGAATCTTGTGAGATACCCCATGGTCAGTCTGCTCTTGCAAGGTTACTAAGCAGTTTTACTGACCATATACATACCCCTGGCATATAAAGAGAAGGAGACACGACAGCTTTAAGTCCCGTGCTCTGGAAGAGTGTGGAAATAGTGATGTGACTCTGCGCGTAAACTCTCTTCCCCACGATTCCTATCGGTTACGCCCAGCCGAATTCTTGGTTTACTACTGGTAAATTGCAAGGTCCTGTATGCAAGCGTGTTCTGGCAAATCAGTACGTAGCGGCGTCGGACGGTCACCGTTTGACGTGTAATACTTTCGTCCCGGGTAAATTTACGGGACGACGAACTCAGTCATTTACGGAATCAGATTTTAAAACCGATGACGTTACAGGGCCTGCCCTAGCTACTAACGTTAGCTGCCCCAACTTGGCACTAGCGACGCCAAAGCGGGAGTTGTCCAAGAACTGGACACGTCAATCAAGGCAATTTTACGTCCCAAGTCTTTGATACGAAAATAGCTCCTTTATTACAATGGCGTCTCGTCAGGGAACGAGGGTGCTCCAACAGAGCTATCGTCTAGAACTACTCCCTGATCCACCAGCCTATTCTTTAACTCATTGTATGGAACATCTTGCAATGCGAGTCCCTGTGCAATTGCAACATCGGCCGCGTTAGCACAGGCCTGGCCCATGGCATAGAATTGATGCTCCAAGCGAACAGCACCGTAGCCAACATGCGATGAACTAGGACATGTGACCGTGATAAAGTTGATAGCCTGGTTTCTCTTTGGCACAAGTGAGCGATAAGCAATACCAAAAGGACGCCATTTGTGTCCATCCTTGAAAATGAAGCCTTCATTGTGCACCTTTCCATCTCGCAGGATTCGGCGGACGCTATGGGTATCAGTTGGCCAATATGCCACAGCAATGGGGTCTTTAACAGGCTCTGAGCCGCCATCACGAGATGCAGTAGCTTCTGTGATGATATAGTCTGAGACCATGCGTCGAGCATCACGAACGTAAAGCTCGTATGGAAAGTGGCTGTTGTCAGGAAACTCGTCTCTACAGTACCCAGAGCGAGACCAGACTTGGCGGTATTTTTCCTTTGGGTTGAGTTAATAGAGATCCTTGTCGCATCGAGGTTAGTGGGATTACGTACCGGAACGGCTGGATCGGTCGAGATGAACCAGAGCAATCCTTTAGTGAATCTAGCTGTCTCATTCAGGATCTCCTTGCGCCGCTTGCGAGACGCGACAGGCCATTCATCGTTCATGCCAAGTAGATCGGTAGATAAAGCGCCCTCAGACCCAATCAAGTCCGTTTTTTCACCCGGCAGCCTTTTTCGTGGCATGTAAAACTCACCACCTGCGGCAAAGTAGCGCCTGTGAAGTTCGTAATGCGACGGATCGTAACCGTCTGGCTTCGTGAAGGGTACCCGGTTATCGGGATCGTCCGTTACAGGCAGCCGGTACGAATATGATTGGAGATGCAAGTCACCATCACCAGGCTTGCCGAATGGCTCATCCGAGATGCCGTAGAGAAGACCGCTTGAAGGGTTACCTGGCTTGTTGTAGGGGTCTACTTGAACATCGATCTGGCGATAGAGTGTTTCATGGCGGACGCCAGCAAGAGACTCATTATAGACTGATGAGGCTTCGCGGCCTCGGGTCCACGTGATGCCTGCTGAAGCGAGGAGATCTCCTTCGTAAGAAGCTTCAACAAAGATTTTGCCAGATACCAAGTCGCCGTTCTCAAGACGCACAGCTTGAATCTGGCTACCTGAACGTTGCACTGCATCGCCTGACTCGGCCAGAGGTGACTTGAAAGCGGATCAGATCAGTTGAAGTAATCTTAGAAGAGCGTCATGGAGACAAACCTTGATGATATTGATTGATGGATACTCAGTCAGCCAGTCAGAGATGACGTTTTCTGCAATCCTCGATTCAAAGCGCCAGATCTCAGGATCTTTGATTCGTTTGCTGACAATCTCATTGAGACTTTCGGTTCTGTTGTATACTTTGCTGACTCTTTGGTGGAATTCTAGACTGAGGCCACCGACGGTGGTGCTGTTCTGAAACTCAACTTGATTGTCGATATCAGTGGCGCCAAGTCCGTTGATCTGGATGCCACCTGCGCTAGATTTTAGCCATGCGCTTTATTAGATTCGTCATCATGGCCGTCGCTTACCAATATGCTCCTGCGGTGAAATAAGGGCAACAGATCGGTTGAGTCGGGCAGCTTGTATAGCAGTGGCTACAGCGCCGGACGTAGAGCCATATACGACAAGATCGAATTGTTGAGACATGGTGGTTGTAGCTGCGGAAATGTTTTAGTGACGAGTATAGAGCTCAATCATAAAGCTACAAGGAGGAAAAGGATTCACCCCTCGATCAGGCTGAAGAACAAAGAGAAAAAAAAGAGAAATCGCCAAGGTTATAGGAACAACTTTCGGACGCACCCATAAAAGTGCACCATGCAATATGCTTAGTGACTCAATGGACTAAGGGCCGGGCTTTAACTTTGGCTCCGCGAAGGCTCACGGTTCCGCAGGTCCCAGGATCTGCTTCCCCACAGACAGCATGACTCATGCGATTTCCGATTCTTATTCCCCCACAATGTAGATCTGTAAGGGATGTCATCAACAACCCCAAGGATGAAGATTTCTTATCCTTAATGCAAGTAAAACAAAGGAAGTAGTCAGACTATCAGGGATGGCTTCCTGCTTAACCAAGGATTAAATCTCAGAAGTCCATGGTATTACTATAGCCCGGAAATAACTAACCGTACAAAGTGGATGTTTCCCCTCGTCAGGCCCGTTCTTAAGCGTGTAAACGAGTCGCTCAGGTTTCCACTTCCCCGGACAGTATCCGTATCCATCAAATATTTAACGAGAAGCAAGTCCGATCCTTTCAAAACCTTGCAACCCAAGAAAAAAATCTCATCCGTCTTTCTATTGTCAACTTGACACTATCCATCATTTCTCACTCAGCCTTTCAACATGAGTCGTGGCGTGTTCGCGGGCAAGGCCGCCTTCGCTCAAGCGACGACGCGGTTGATGATATTCTGCATGATATATGCCTTGGGGAGCATTTTCTTCGGATAGTGAGTACAGTACCTTGCCACAGTTGGGCGAACTTGGCCAGATTGGCAAGAGAGAAAGGGCTCTTGGATGGATCTGTTCAGAGGAAGCAATTTGAGACGGACTGGGTAAGCCAATATTCTCGTCAACGTTGTTGTAAAACTAACCTTTTGACAGAATTGCATGTACCATCATGTCTTTCCAGCAACTTACCGGTGTGACATTCAGTTCATCGTACGGCCCGACCTTCTACCGCTCTGTCGGGCTTGCTGACATGGCCTTTGTCTATGCTGTACGTATATCAGCACCGCCGAATCCCTGATTCTTCAGTCTGCTAACACACCAACACTAGGTTGTTAACAATGCTACATCGGTAATCACTGCCACGATGGCCATAGTCTTTCTGGACATGTTCGGTCGACGTACCCTTGTTGTCCATGGTGGCTGGTCACAGGGGGCCTTCCTCGTCGCGATCGCAGCCCTAGGTCGCATTGAGAACCCAAGCGTACACGAAAGCAATGGCATTGTCGCTGGTATGCAACTATACACATGTATTCTTCATATGACTCTAGGTCCTGGAGCGTATATCACCGCCGCTGAAGTCGGCACCCAAACTTTGCGTGAAAAGACAATGGCTCTATCTGTAAGTGGCTTGCATGGCTATAATGGTCTTATGGTCGGGACTGACACCTCTAGACCGCTATAAACGTGGTAGTCGGCTTTGGTGTCGTTTTTGGCACGCCTTATGGTCTTCGCCAATTTGGCTCGGCTCTCGCCTACATCTGGGGCGGGTTTGCCTTCTTATCCTCCGTTTGGGCATGGTTCTTCATGCCAGAACTCAAGGTATGTACTTAACTAATGCAGAAAGTCCTGGTTAAAATATACTGATGCTTTCCTAGGGCCGGAATTTGAAGGAGATTGATCAGCTTTTTGACACAAACTTGCCAGCCTGGAAGTTTAGCGAGTACGAAACAGAAGGTCTGACACATGAGTTGACTGTGCTAGAGAACGGCCAAGATACCAAGAAGGTTGACGATGAGGTTGACCTCGAAGCTAGCCACGTCGAGGGCCAGCGGTAAATGAGGAACGTTATATACAGATGTACCACATACCGAGTTGGACATCACAGCAAAGTTCTTGCGTAGCTCAGTAGATCTTCGCAGCTTTCACATACCGGACTTTTGTATGAAATATTGTTATAAGGCCCATCATGCGCCTCAGATTTAGTATAAAGCCTATGGCACAAGTCATGCTGGCTCTTGTATGGTTATATTGTGTATTGATCTTTAGTTTTCAGGACCAGAGATTTGGTTTTTATCATCGAGTCTTCGACTTATGGCCTCTATCCACTCTTCGACTTGTGCGCAGTAAGAGATCGTAAATTGTCACGACCCCAGCGCATCGTTTATGACATATGTCCCTCGATTACCTTCCAAACCACTTTCTGTAGTTGCGTGAAGAAATTGACCAACTTAGCGCAGCTTTGAATCTTTATATCATAAGGCACTGATCAAGCTTGGGGATATGCAACTTTCTTTCGGTCTTTCACTAACACTATGCAATAGACTGAGATGTATTACGCACTGGCAGCTTAAGGCATCCCGATTGAGACACATCAACAGCCCGATAGGCCGACGATTTACACTCCTCATGCTCACTAATTAGTGCTTAGGCATGCTCACCTCGTTGTAAACTATCCTCTTGGTGGATCAAGCCTCGAATGATTCCGTGCCTTCCGCGGGATAATTTGGGGGTTGAAGTAAGTTAGATTAGCGACGGTGCACGGCCGGCAGTTGTTTTCATGCGCGATGCTACTTAGTAAAAACTCAAAGTGTAGCATTGAGGTCTCTCTAATTTCTCCCTCGTATTTAGACCTCAGGTGAATAAACTGTGAACTTTGTTTGGAACGATAATAATCTCCTCCAGGCACGGCAGAGCGGCAAGTAGATATGTATTATGATGCTTATCATGCAGTTCGGCATCTCTGGGACATTTGGAGTAATGTTGTTTTTGTCAAAAAGTCCATCGAGATTGGCGATGACGTGTAATTCACAGGAGCCAAATGTCTTGCTTTCTCAGCTGTCAGCCCATCAACCCATGCTCTAGCGTACAATACACTTTCCGCCAGGGACATGACGGGCGACGGTAGCGCAGTTTACATCTATTTCAGCAAAATAAACATTTTATGGCATTATCTCATTTTATCTTATTGAGATAATGTAACTTCAAGTCAACCCACTCACTCTCAAAGAGATAAAAGGTCCCAGTCCCCTCACCATATGAATCTCACTCGTAGGCTACTTGACTTCGTCTTTGTAACATCAGCAAAAACACTTTCACTCGTTACCAAAATGCATCTCAAACATCTCCTTCTCTTTACTGGAAACCTGCTTCCCGTCTTTGGAGCAGCAACCAAGGCTTCCACTTCAGCCAAGGCCCCCGAGCCTCAGCAACCGGGCATTGTCTCCAACTGCAAGTCATACTACCTTGTACAGAAAGGCGAAACCTGCTCCTCAGTCGCTACCAAGAACAAAGTGTCCCTGTCTGACTTCTTGAAATGGAATCCCAAGACTGGCACTGACTGCAATGCCCTTCTGGCAAACGCATATGCCTGTGTTTCAGTCACCGAGACAAAGGGCTCAACTCCAGCAAAGAAATACTCCCCTACTCAAGCTGGCATCGCCAAGAACTGTGCCAAGTACGTTCTTGTTGGCAAGACCACGACTTGCAAGTCAATCGAGACGCAGAACAAGCTTTCCTTTGCGAACTTTTACAAATGGAACCCTGCTATTGGCAAGCACTGTCAGGGTCTCAAGAAAGGATACTATGTTTGTGTTGGCGTTGAAAAGGCTGTGACTCCGACACCGACCACTCCTGAGAATGTCACCGGCAACAAAGCGCCTTCGCCGGTTCAGAAAGGAATCACCAAGTCTTGCAACGAATACCATCGTGTTTCTAAGGGCGACACTTGTTCTGCTGTTGCATCAGAGTTCAAGATCGATTTGGATGAGTTTTATCAGTGGAATCCTGCTGTTGGGTCCAAGTGTGAAAACCTTTGGGCTAATTACTACTACTGTGTTAGTGTTGCTGGCGAGAAGGCTAAGGCTAGTGTCCACACTCCCTCTCCTAATTAGAGCGGTATGATAAAGGGCCTTTTCAGTATTTTAATATTTATTTCACACTTAACTTCAATATAATGATAATTGGCTACCTTTGGATAAGTTCAAGGAACCTCGTGTATGTAGCTCTTGGTCCAAGAGGATTGTGTATTGACGGTCTATATTATCTATATGCCCATAATGTACTTAAAGCAGTGCCTATCACTAGAACAACATTCCGAGCCCCAGGAGGGCTCCAGCGGCCAATGTCCAAACCTTGAACTGATGTGCGTTGGCTCCGGAAACACCGACTGGTGTATATGGTGCCTCTCCAGCTTCCGATGAGCCACTGTGCGTGGACTTGGGTACCTGCATCTCGGTAACGCTTGCTTCGGTAGTGAAAGTCGTTGAGATGCCTTGCTGACCCTGATGAGTAGCCGATGACGGTGAAGGATTTCCTGAGGCACCAGATTGGTACGAAGAGATAGCTGTCTGGGTAGCACCACCTTGTGGCTGCTGAGGCTCGCTGTTGTTGGGCTCTGGTGAACCTTGACCAGGAACAGAAGGTTGCTTATCACCCTGTCCTGGCTGGGAGTTTCCATGCGATTCTGCAGCTGGCGTAGGAGTATGAGGCTTGCCGGTCTCATAGCCCGATGGAAAGTTGCCTGGCGATCCCGGTACAGGATGAACAGATGGCTGGCTATACTCGCCACCTGGTGAGTTGGCCGGAGAACCCTTTGTAGGTTGTGCCACGGGATAGCTATGGCCGCTAGCATCAACTTGATAACCTCCAATACATCCAGCAGGTGTTGTAATCACTGGAGGTCCATAGCTCCCACCGTTACTACCAACCGTGACACATGTGGAGGTAGTAACTGTCTCGGTAACTACACCAGTGCTGCAAGTGACATACTCGACCAAAGTCAGATAAACAGTCCAGACGTTGTAAGCAGTAGGGTAAGGTGTTGGAATATGACTTCCAGATGTTGTCTTGATAGTAGCACCAGAGGTAGAAATTGTCTTGGAGCCAACCTCCGTGGTTCCAGAAGACGAAGAACTGGATGAGGAGGCTCCCTGGCTATAGGTGGTATAAGGGTGAGCCACTGTAGTACCTGAAGATGCAGGCAGAGAGGAGCCTGCTTGGCTTGTAACAGAGGTTGGAAGAGATGTTGATAGAGAAGCTTGACCTTCTGTTGTCGTCAGAGAAGATGACAATGACGCAGTTGAGGTAGCAGAGGTAGCAGAGGTAGAAACCTCAGATGATTCATTGGTCGTGGTGGGGGAACTCTGGTTGTCAGTGGTTGAGGTCGTTGACTGTATCTCGGACCCTGTTGCTGAAGATGTAGTCACAGTAGCCGAGGTCTCAAGGGATGACGTCTCGTCATCACAATCATCGGTTGATGTCTCAGCACTAGAGGTGCTGATAGACAATGAATCTGTAGTGGCGGTAGTAGCTGTAGTGGACTCCCCAGAAGCGGAGGTCTCTGATGTAGATTCCGCTGACGACGACAGCTGTGAGGTTGTTGATACCGCTGCAGATGTTGACAAAGGCTCTGATGTAGATGGCAATGCTGATGTTGTTTCTTCTGATGATACAGATGCTGAAGATATCGACGAAGTCTCTGACGTCGCTGATGCCGTTAATGTGTCTGATGTTATTGCCTGAGATGTAGCAGCTTCCGATGTTGAGGCCTCTGCAGTACTAGCCACTGATGTAGTAGCTTCTGTCGAAGTGCCTTCAGTTGATGTATTGGCCTCTGATGTAGTGGCCTCTGACGTAGTGGCTTCCGCTGAAGTAGTAGCTTCTGTTGAGGTAATAGCCTCTGTAGAAGTAGTAGCCTCCGTAGATGTCGTGGCCGCTGATGTAGTAGCATCTGTCGATGTAGGAGCCTCAGAAGTAGTAGCCTCAGTCGAAGCAGCCTCCGTCGAAGTCGTCTCAGGCGCTGCCCTCCTGATAGCAAGATCGTTACCAGTGAACGACCTAGTGCTCGTATAGCTGTCTATCAAAGCACAGTCGCCGCTTGAGCCTAGGTACAATGCAGCAAGACAAGTGTCGTCATCGTCGCATCGATTCACACAATCTTGAAACTCGTCTCCCTGAGAATAATAGGCAGTGATGTGCCCGCCAATTGTAGAAGTATCGCATAATATATCGAATTTGTTGTTGTTAGGGCCGGTGTAAATGCTGCCGGCCAGCTCGCTGCAACTGGCAGCCAGCACAGTTGGAAGAAGAGACAAGTTGAGAGCCCAGAAGGCCCCAAGGCGCTTTGACCGTTCCATACTGGAAAGGTGTGTAGGAAAGAAAATACAACGTTTGGGGTACTATGGATGGGAAAGTGGATGACTTCAGAGTCTTCTTATAGAGAGGAGAGAGGCCTTTGCCAATGGCTCTATTAATTTCTTAGTATAGCTCGCTTATTTCAAGCTGCTCAAGCTTGCAGTAGTGAGCAGCTAACAGCAGTCATTGCATGATCTGCTGTTAAAACAGAGCGAGAAATATCATTTTAATTTCTTTTTGCGCTTATAGATCCTTGTAGCTCAAGGTGAACTATTGGATCTTAGCTGAGTTATTGATCCCACTAAGCCTGATACGAGTTGCGCTATCGATTTTACAGCTGGGGTCGGCGAGCATCTAGACCAAAGAAAGCATAACAAGCCCCTTTGTGAAGCGACTGAGTTTTTCTTGTGGTGTTTCTTATCAGTCTATTTACATGCTCCTCTTCACCTATCTCTGTCGAGCATTATTTACAATCCTTATCACAACATGCTCGCCCAGGATGCTTATACAGACGTACATGGCCGCTTTTTCTGCTTGTCCAGTGGTTACCTCCCAAGCCGGCCCCTGTAACTCTAGCCCAGGATAACTGAAAGCTCCACCATGAGAGATGTTTTGACCACAGCCGGCTCCGCAACTGCATTCAGCTCCGCTGAAACCATTACGGTCACAGGCTCGTCCACTTCTTTATTAGATGAAGCGTCAAGCTTTAATGTCACAGAGTCCGTGGGCAGCACGGAGACTTCTTGGGGCTCTGAAGCCGTGTCTCCAACTGCCCTGTCGACTACCGAAGGCTTGACAACCGAGATGGCCACGACGACTGCCCTAACCCTAACCTTCGACTATACCCTTCATCAACAATGCTGGATTCGACGATCACGCTTCATCTATCGCGCCATGCTCCATACTGGCGGGAATACCGCATTCGTCGTCTCCGATGTGACACATGACGGACCGAGTCCCGCTTTATGATCTAAGGGCAGAGTCCTCTCATAGACTTCTTCATCAGATATCCCCTTCATATGCTCATATCAAAACAACTATTGGGAGGAACCAGAGCCTATCCGTCTTACCACGAGTGAAACCAGTGGACGCATGTTTCTTCGACTTGCACTTACACGCCGGAGCGGATTGATTTTAGGGACTCGTATTTCATAATAGGGGTTCAGAGCTATAGTAGTAGCACTAGCCAAAGCTACTATATAAACTCACGAAATTAAATAGTGCCTGTAGAACCTATTAGCATTAACCTAGCCTAATTAAAAAGGTTATTAAATAAGGCTTTTCTTTATATATATTAATTAGACAGCCTAAAAATACTAATTAATAAATTTAATTTAATTATATACTACTCTTAAAGTTATAAATTAAGTTATTTATAAATATATAATATATAAAAATAACTAAAGAAATAAGCTCTATTTAGTAATATAGTCTTAAGGCTAGCTAACTGCCTAAACCTAAAAAATATAATATAACAGTTAGGTTTAACTATATTAAATTAAGCTATATTTAAGTTTATTATTAATAGATTATATAAGGTATAATACTAAGTAGTTATTAAAGTATTATATCTCTTAATAGTAGATTTAATATATATTAGGCTTAATTAATATAAAGAAGTTTTATTAATAGTTAGTAAGCTAACTTTATAGAGGTGTAAATAAGTATAAACTATATATTATTATTTATAAGATATTTATTAATACTTTTATTAAAAATTAAGATATTAATCCTTTAGTTTTAGATTAATATTATAAGGTTTTAATTCTATTTTAATTAATTAAATTAAATAAATTAAAAAAGGTTTATTTAATTTATTTATAATTAATAGGGTTTATAGGAAAATTATAGAGTATATATAATATAACTATAAGGGTTATAATATATAGGCTAAAGCTAAAAGAAATTTAAAATTAAATCTTTAAATTAAAAAAGCCAGTTATATAAAAGGAAAAGACTTATTTAAAGGCTAAAAGGCTTAAAGTAGTAATATTTTTATATTATTACTATATTTATAATTTAATAAATTTTAATTTAATAAATAAATATAGAAAACCTTTTTAATATAAAGCTATAGCTTATTTTTAAGTTAAATAATTAATAATTAATAAATAGTAAAGAAAAGACTTTTAGTTAATTATAAAAGAAAAATAAAGCTATTTATTCTATTAGCTAGACCTTAAGAAGGAGTTATTTTAAGACTTTATTTAGCTTTATTTTTAATAATATATTATTACTATAATTTAATTTTAAAAATAGATAAAAGATATATTTAAATTATTAAATAAATAAGTAAATCTATTTATATTTTTAAATAAATAGTAAGCAGGTTTTAAAAAGTATTATAATATAGTTAAAAATAAAGTTATAAAATAAATTACTTAATAATCTAAAGCTTATTATAAAATATATAAGTTATTTTACTAATTTATTAAATAAATATAATATAATTAATAGTTATTACTATTAAAATAGTAATTATTACCTAAAATAAAAATTAAATATATTTTTAACATACCTTAAAGATACTTTAAATAATAGTATACTTTAAATATTAATAAAATACTTATAGTATTTATAAATAATACTAATAGCATTTAGGCTATACTTAAAGAGAAAACTATCTCTATAAAAACTATATATAGTAAGTAAGAAAAGCAGCAGATAATAGCAATTTTATATATCTTTAGAGATAGTATTTATAGGCTTAATCCTATAATTATATTTAAAGGTTTTACTAGTAATAAAGGCAGGATTTTTAAAGATAAAGGTTTTTTTTATACTTTAGGGATTAAAGTAATATATAATAATAATATATATAATAATAAAGACCTAATAGAAATATAAATAAAAGAAAATATCCTAACTGTTAAATTAGTAATAAATAACTTCTTATTAATAATAAATACTATAACTTTTTACTTAATAGAGTAAGTTAAAAAGAAAATTAAAAAATAGCTTATAACTTTAATTCTAATTCCTATAGGCTATATAAGCTTATTATAGCTACTAAATATAATAGTAAATAAATTATTTAAATAGTTTTATTGAAAGGAAATAGATATTTATAAGCTTAAAAAAAAAATAAAAAATAAAAACTAATTAAAATATAAGTAATTAAAGGATTATAATAATATAAATTATTTAAAAAGCTTAAAATAAAATAAAAAATTAATAAAAGATAATTATAAGGTTATTTCTTTATATAGAAATAACTATAAGGCCTAATAGAAGTTAAGATAACTTTATTTTTATAAAAGGAATTAAAAATATTAACTTTTTAGACTAAAAGATAGTAAAGGATATAACTATTCAGTCTAAAGAACTTATTAACTATCTATATAATAAGGAGAAGCTTATTTTTAGCCTTAATAAAAAATATAATAAAAATAACCTTCTTTATATACTTAAATATCTAAAAGTCCTTTAATTATAGAAAATAGTAACTTTAAATAAGTTATTAATTAAAGGAAAGAAGGAAAAACTTATTAAATGCCTTAAAAGTTATTTAACTGCTATTAAAATAACTAAAGATTTAATTATAATTAAAATCTATAACTTAAAAGTTATAACTATAGATAATAATAATTATAGTTAATTTTAACCTTTAAATATATCTTTAAATTAAAAAAAAGCCTTTCCTTTTTACTATTTATAATATTAATTAAGGTATTATAATTACCGCGCTTATATTACATAGACCCTATATAATTTTCTATAACCACTAATTAAGCTAGAACTAACACTTATAGAACCGATATCAGTCCAGGACCGCATTATTCTAGGAATAATAATAACCTTACTTAATGTCACTCCCTTATAACTATACTAAATATATATAGATATATTTATTTAGTATTAAATAGAACTTAACTTACTAGCTATTAATAAAGTATCTTTATATTAATAAGCCTAATATGTATTACTTAATTATTAAGAGATATAATACTACCTAAGCTTAGCATTATGCCCTATATTATCTGTAAATATAAACCTAATATAGACTAGTTTCTCTATTTAAAACCCTAACCGTTATATAAGGTATTAATTAAATTTATTTTATTTTTTCTCTTTTTATTTAGGCTTATAAAAATATACTTTTCTTTTAATTAGAATATTATTAATTAACTAATAATTTTATATTTTAACCTAACTATAGTAAATATCGTTTTTTATAAAAGAAATCCCTTTTAGTTAATTAGGTAAAAAGGAAAGCTAATAAATAAAGCAGTAAGTCTATTTAACCTTAAAGTATTTATTATTATTAAAATTATTAATTATATCTATAAACTTATATTAATATTATTTAAAACCTTTAAAGATTTATATATATATATATTAATAATATTAATAAATATACTCCTTAAATATAAAGTTATAATAACTATAGAAAGTTAAGATAATTATAAGTTATTAATAAAATTAAAGGGCAGAAAAGGATAGTAAAGGTTAGGTTTATAAATTAGTAATAACCTTATATAGTTAGAAACTGCAGGCCTATATATTAGCTTTAACCTATAGGCGCTACTTAATTTTATGAGTTTATATGGTATATAGATACGGTAGACTTCTCTACTGTCTGACCGTGATCGCCTTGCCACGTCAGTCACCAAGATATGACCTTCGCGCTTCGGGAAGAGTCGATACCATCCAATGTTAAGAGGCGCTATTGAGAGTCAAATGTGACTGAGACTTGACTCTAACCGCGCGCCTTAAACTGTCGCCATATTGGTGTGGCCATGGTGCGAGACCATGAAGCGTCTAGTGAAACAGGCTAAAAGGGAACACTCCAACCAACAAACGTACTGTCAAGATAAAATAGAGAGATCTGCCCATTGCAGAATGTTGCATTTCGCTAAAACAATTACTTTCATCAAAAGATTGTCTTACAGGTATTTTTTCATTACACTATCAACAGAACAAAATGACATCCGAGTCCCAGCAACCACGTTCCAAAACTCCAGTCCTCAAGCTACGACCGTCAGTCACAACGGAACAAGTCGTACCCCGTCAAAAGATCAAACAACCCTATGGCCCTTGGATCGCACATCCAGACCTCATTGATGAAGAGTTTGAGCGGCGCCGCCACCTCGTCCATTTCCCACCTGATGTGACAAGGGACGAGCATAGACGACGATGGAAGGACGAGATTCCGGTACTGGAAGCAGAAATTGAAGATTGTAAACTTGGGGAGTTTGATCTCAGGGCTGTTATTTCAATGGTACCGAGATACGACATGCAGTATACACTGTGTCAATCCGATCATGAACAAGCTAAGTATCTCGAGAGATATTACGTAGGGGCTCATATGTACAACAACCTCCATTTTGAGTGACATGCCGAAGTTCTGACGGTGTTGTGAAAGCTACTTACGGCCTCACGCTTTTTTCTCGCCTTCCTTTCTCGAAAGCTTTGGGCATGATTGGGGATTGAATGCTCGAGGTATTTATTACCATCATTACTATTCACCCGCGTGGATTACAGCAGACCATAAACTATGGGTGCCGTCAATACAGGATAAGGATTGGGACGATGCTGACGAAGAGGATCGCCGAGTCAGAGCCAGAACAATGGTCAAACATATTCTGCAAAACGAAAAGTGGGCTAAGAGCGAATATGCATGGGAGGCCGATGCTTGGAAGGATGTGTTTGGGATGATGAGAGATGACCCTGTACTTGCGGTGTAGGGATATAATCCCCCTCTTGGAGGAAATATCACTAACGATTGCAGGGACAAGCATGCATACAACACGATACGAGAGAAACGGCATCCTGTCACATGCCTTTTGGCTGGCGAATCAAAGTTCATCAAACGGATCCCCGATGCGACTTTTGGTCTCGCAACATTCAAGCCAAGAGATTACCAGAGCCCGATTGCAGAATGGGATCTCGATCGTGATCGCCTGGAAGCACTCAGTCTTCATAGATACTGTGGACTTCACTCTGACCCTAGCTGGGGAAAGTCAAGT